GCATTAGGGTGGAGTTTTTTGAAATATTTAGGCTGAAGGCCTAAACATGCCGCCCCCCTTGCGGGACGCAACATCTGTGCTTGGGAAACGCCCGAGCTACCAGCTTCATATGTTCTTATAATTACAAAACAAGTGTGTGAATTCATGTATGTTGTGCTGTTGAGAGCGGCGCCACCATCACCAAGATCTTCGACGAGCGGTTCCATCCTTTTTCCCCTAAAACACCTAGTAAATCATAGAGTGAAAATCATGGGATACAAACATGGTTATAATTCAATGCACTTTATTTCATTACAAAAAAATTCAAATAATTCACATCTTATTTTGGTTTTTTATATAAGTTAAATTTACGGCCGGCACGCCCCTGACAGCACCCAACCAAAAATAGTGCTTTGCGCAATGAGGGGGCCAAACGACGTCGGTAAAGTTCCGGGCAAGATTAGGTCCGCATATACGTCCGACCCAAGGGCAAGGCGTATCGGTGCTGATGCGAAAAAATTTGGATCCGCAAGCCGAATGTGGATATACGGCGTAGCAACTGAGGGATCCACATTAGTCCTAGGTGAGACATGGTTGTAGTGGGGTATAACAAGCGCATGGGTCGCCACCCGCTTGTTCTGCCCATGCTTGCCCCTTATGCATAGGAAACACCCTCGTTGCCCGCCGATATAGGTTTCCTGAAGCGCTAGCTCTTGGGCCAGATCCGCGGACAAGTTAGTGTTCGGCGCGCAGGCGTCAATAAGCGCGCGGACCAGATGTAGGCGCCCTCTCGCCTCCACCTTTACAACAGCGTGCGGTCGTGATAGCTGGCGAGGCCTAGTCACCAGTCTATCTTCGTGTTGAAATGTTGTGGATTGGCGCAGGCGGAAAGGCCGAGGTCCCGCTCTGCGGCTTTGTCGCCCTTGGTGGCGTGCTCGGTGAACCCGTGTTTCGGATCCAGCCGTACTTCTGCGTTCATGCCGCAGCAGAGGCCGGAAAGACCGTGTTTCCGGTCCCCCGTTAGTAAGCGGGCGGAGAGGCCGAGTCCCCGCTCCGCGCTCAATAACTTCCCCTTCTTCAATCTCTGGACCGGGAGGCCTAGTCTCGGTTCCCGAGTCGGACGCGTATAGTGACAGAGTGCCGTCTGCCTCGGCTTCTTCCACTTGCACACTCCATGGTTTGGGGACTGGTTCCTCTGAGTCGCCTTCATTGCCTCGTGCCCTCCATGACTCACATTTTCGTTGGCGCGTTGGCTCATCCTCTAAATGCAGAGTGGAGTGGTGTTTCTCGCCACACCTACGGCATCTTCCCTCGCTTTGACACTCCTTCAGCTGGTGGGTCATGGCAAGGCAGTTTGCGCAATAGCGGCCCAGTAGAGCTTCGCGCAGTCTCTCCTCGGGCGATTTTGCCCGATAAATAGGGCAGAGCCTAATCGGGTGGTGTGCGTCGCATAGGCGGCACGGTAGCGGATAGCGGTGGGCGCGTTGTTCGGCTCGTTTCCTCATAGTGGCGATATGAGACATCGTTACGGCTGAAATAGGGTCAGATATCGTTGCAGTGGATATTATAACGTATATATGTATTGTTGGGTGGCGAGTGGTATGAAAGGCGCAACATTTTGATGACTGCAAGCGCATAATTCGGTCGGTGTGAACTTGGCATTATATACATTATTTTTCTAATCAAAGAACCACCTAGTGTGAATGTAGCATAATGTTAACTCACGACCTACAAAATTTTGGATGATGAATTGCATGGATGCCATGCATTCTACTGTGCAGGGATGTATGGGCAACGTAGAATTTTACTTGAATTAAATTATACCGAAAAAAAAAATGCCTGTGCGTATGAGTGTGGTAGCATTTATTTATTTTTATTATTCTTCATTTGTGCTTTCATCCGCATATTTTGTCAATAGCAGGTTTTAACATATGTGTGTGTGTACTTGAGTATGTGACGTGAACCTGCTTATCGACATTTGGAGACTTATGTATCTTGGTTTACATCGGCACTCAACAATCCCACTTCCCACCGGCATAAGCTTGCATATCATTGGGCGCCTTGCTGTTAAAAAACAAGGTGCCGCCTAAGAAATACTTTAGCAAGCATAGTATCTTAACATTTTTGTGGTACGTAGTGACTTTGGATTGGTTTCCCATGTAAAATAACCAATTAACATTTTGTGACTTTGCTTTGGTTTACATTTAAAATAACCAATTAACATTTTGTGGTACCCAGTGACTTTGCATTGGTTTTACATTTAAAATCCCCAATTGTATGACAACAGCAATTAAATTTATTGCCTACGAACGGTCACCATGCAAAACTAGCAGCAGCTAGTTAGGGTTAGTGTTAATTGTCCGTAAAGAAACATAGCTATTCTCCAATATGAATGGAGAACGGCGCTAGGTTTATTCCTGATGTGGAACGTAATCACATACATACATACATACAATGCATAAATGTCATTGTCTAAAATTTTACTACCACGCGGCCATTACGTAAGTTTGCTGGAACGGTTGGGTGAGTATGCATGCGAAATTGCATGCTTTTGTTCTTATTAATCTTTTTCAATTTTCAGAGATTTTTATTGCGGTGAACGTGTGTTTACTCTCGTTGGTGTACGAATTAGAAAGTTTAACTTCTGTGCATTTTCGTGGAAAACTGCATTCGTTTAATTAGATACGCACGGAAATAAACCGCCACGATGGGAATAAAATTCCTCGAAGTTATCAAGCCATTCTGCAGCATACTCCCGGAAATTGCAAAGCCGGAACGAAAGATTCTTTCAGAAAGTCACCACGGTCATGAGCACAGTCATCCGCATGGGCATGGACACACACAAGAGCATGTCAGTCCAGAAGCACTAATGAATCCAACGTTTCTGAGACAATCTCAGCATGTTGGTGCTAATATGTCGGCACCTATAACCACAGCGCGTGCTGAGCCACGTATGATTAGTACAATGAGTACGATAGCGATACCCATTCCAGCACCACCACCTAGGGGTGGTACAAGTACCGGCGTACCAACAGCATTTAATGATACGCTAATCGATTTGAGTGGCGAATCGCAACAGTAGGTGTGTAAACGGATAGGAATTACAACGTAATTTGGTATTTTTATTTAACACGGATAAATATATATTTACATAAATGTGTATATGGAAAAGACGCACCACAAATTGAATGCACACTTAAGATGCGTAGGTACATTCATAAAGTTGGTAAATGTGGATGATGTTAAGAAATGGTCGGTTCTACATTTGGAGACGAAAAGCGAATTTCTAATTATGCGTTTAAAAGTTAGTTTAGGTTGCCTTTTCGATTTAGTGAGAACTTTAATGGTATAAAAGGGATTATCCGTGATGTGTAATATATATATATATATTTTTTTTTTTTAATTTTGAATGAAGCAGAACTTTTGTAAAACAAAACGAAAATCCATAACTTCGATCCATAATTTCTGTACAATTTTTTAAAGATAATTCTGAAAAATGGAAACAATATCCAAGATTTCCCTGATATTGGTTCTATTCCTAATTTTTGCAAGTGTTTTTACTGTGGATGTATATGCAGTCTCGCTGGCTGCAAATGTAGATGGGAATGCCTATAAGACCGTCGTCGACAGTGTTGCGGACGCCGCCTCCGTAGCTTTAGTCGCAGACGAATCACCATTAGTTAGCTCAGAAGCAGCACAACAACAGAGTGGAGCGCCAGTAAAATCGAAAGCGTCACCAGCAAGTAGCGCAACTTTCGACGCTGTACACAATAATTTCCTAAAGCAAAACCAACAGCTAACAGATGAGCCCTCAGCATTGACCTCAGCGGCATTTTCGGTCAATCAGCAGCACCAAGCCTCATGCATATCAACATTTGCAAAAGAAGAGCCACCGCGACAACCGCCACAGAAGAAGTATGAACATGAAATCTCCGTGCTGGGTTATAAAATTCCAATACCTTCATTCGTAATGGACGGTATGAGTTCCGTGCCAACTGGTGCGGAAGTAAATGCCGGCGGAGCTGTTGGTGCAGATGCAGACACCATATCTGAACGGATTGGCGACAGTGGCAGTTCTGATGATGCGAACATTTTTAAGCTCTTCTGCGAGAACACCACCATCAGTAATGTAAATGCGGAACTGCGTTCCAAAATGTATATCAATTATGGTTACATAATCCTGCAGCATTGCTATGTCAACGAGGATGCGTCGTCATTGCAATTGCAACAGTACGAAAGTGTGCGAAACTTCAAGTGGTCGTATAGCAATGTGCATGACCAACAATTGGAAACGCTTCTCTCGAGTCATAAATCGAATTTCGAGAATTTAGAATCCCTTGATGGTGCTATGGACTGCTATAACACTATTCATCTTCTTGGTTTGCTGCCAAATCCCGCTTTTCGGCATCATGAGCTCAGACTCAGCTGATCCGTTCTACTGGATTCGTGTGATTTTAGCTTCGAACCGTGGTACACTTATGGAACTTGGTATTTCTCCAATTGTGACGTCCGGTCCGATTATGCAGCTGCTGGCGGGTGCCAAAATCATTGAGGTCGGCGATACACCTAAAGATCGTGCACTATTTAACGGTGCACAAAAATTATTCGGCATGGTTATAACAATTGGTCAAGCCATCGTGTACGTCATGACAGGCATGTATGGTGATCCTTCGGAAATTGGCGCCGGTGTGTGTTTGCTAATTATTGGTCAAGCCATCGTGTACGTCATGACAGGCATGTATGGTGATCCTTCGGAAGTTGGCGCCGGTGTGTATTTGCTAATTATCATTCAACTGTTTGCTGCTGGTTTGATAGTGCTGCTGCTTGATGAGTTGCTGCAGAAAGGTTATGTCTTAGGCTCTGGTATTTCGCTTTTCATTGCCACCAACATTTGTGAGACTATTGTGTGGAAAGCATTCTCACCCACAACTGTCACTACCGGCAGAGGTACAGAATTTGAAGGCGCCGTAATTGCACTATTCCACTTGATGGCCACACGCAACGACAAAGTACGTGCGCTACGTGAAGCATTCTACCGCCAAAATTTGCCAAATTTGATGAACTTGTTGGCCACAGTGCTGGTATTTGCCGTGGTCATATACTTCCAAGGTTTCCGTGTGGATTTGCCCATCAAATCAGCTCGTTACCGTGGCCAATACAGCAGCTATCCCATCAAGCTCTTCTACACTTTAAACATTCCCATCATTTTACAATCGGCTTTGGTTTTTAACTTGTATGTCATCTCACAAATGTTGGCTGTCAAGTTCCAGGGCAATGTCTTTATCAATTTGCTTGGTGTCTGGGCTGATGTTGGTGGTGGCTGCATTGGCGCGTTATCTGTTATGGCTGACTTTTTGGGTGCCGTTGATTCAGGTACAGGTATTCTGCTGGCTGTAACCATCATCTATCAGTACTTCGAAATCTTCGTTAAGGAGCAATCGGAGATGGGTGGCATGGGCACTTTACTGTTTTAAGTTGGGGTTGCGCTGTACATTATTCTAATTAATGTTGTTTATAAGAGGTGACTCACTCAAAATTGAACAATATCTATCCTCGAAAATATAAACCAATTGCCATATCGCTTTCAGCGTCATATGCAAAAGTATAGCTCGGTGCGTCTAACCCATCATTACAATTATCGCTTCAAACTCAATGGCCCAATCGCTCAAGATCGTAACTATTGTACACCCATATCGCACAATGGTAAGTCATCGGATTATGAACCAGGAATAACCGCAGGTGATGCCGATAAAGAAGACAACCAAAATTATGCAGCTGCCACTGCACTAATGATTATAACAACAATAATTCTCATATTGGTGGAGGTGGAAACTGCAAGTTTACTAATACACAAAGGACTAATACCTACGAGCGGAACTGGCGCACATAACGGAACTAATGCCGGAAAAATGGGTGAGTTAGACATATCCCCGCAAACACATATTTTAAATGATATGCATATGTATGTATAGATATATTTTTTTTTTCTGAACTATAGTCTTTGCTGGTAGGTTTTGACAATTGAGGCGAACTCATTTGGTCTAATGGGTTGACTGACGATTATCGAAACCTGTCAAGTAAAATGGATTCGCTTCCCATCAGACCTAGTTGTGTTGAAAAACGAGCAAGCATAATGAACAATTGTAACGACTTTCAACTTATTTCGATTATTATTATATTTTTTGGAGGATTTTAATTGATAATTCGCACCTCGTTACCAATTTCGTATTTCTGAAACAATTGTTCATCAAGCTTGGTCTGTCTTATTTTTACCCGATTCTATGATGAAAAGGGTCGCCATTCTACCGACGTTCTTTGGTGCTTACAAGATCTAACGATGGTCGGTTCTTTATACCCAGATCTACCCGGAGAGGCCGGGCTAAGAACCATCACCAAAATCTAACTAAAACACGACTACCTTTAATATTACTCTGGGTTAAACTTGATTATAGGCGTGGAATCCTTCCGAATGCATAGAAGTGGAATTTTTGTGCGATGAGGAAGTGGAATTCACGCGGGATTGGGGATCAACGGAGAGGGTTTATTTACGAAGTGGTTGCTGGCTCCTCGGTTTCTTGATTTTGGGATGGAAGTAGGACCAGTTTGGCCAGCGGTCTCGTAATCTGCCCTTTTTCCGTGATGATGTCAACTACGCGTACTCGATCGTCGGGACCAGGATGTAGGCTGATAATTCGACCTAATCTCCACTCATTTGACGGGAGGTTGTCTTCTTTGATGACAACGAGATCACCTAATTTTATATTTTGCTGTGGATATTTCCACTTAATCCGCTTTTGCAGTTCGGATAAATATTCGGTTTTCCATCGTTTACAAAAAGTTTGGTGAAGGGCCTTTAGCTTCTGCCACCGATTTACTATCGAGGCAGGATTCTCGTGAACGTCGATTTCAGGTGGGGCTAGCAGGTGTCCACCGGTAAGAAAGTGACCTGGAGTGAGAGGCTCCAGGTCGGTAGGTTCATTCGAAGCGGGGCTCAATGGTCGTGAGTTGAGGCACGCCTCAATCCGACATAAAAGAGTACTGAGCTCTTCGAATGTATATTTATGAACGGATGCAATCTTTTTAAAGTGGCTTTTAAAGCTTTTTACCCCTGCCTCCCATAAGCCGCCCATATGAGGAGCAGCGGCGGGTATGAAATGCCATGTGAGCATTTGATAATTGTATTTCGAAACTGTTTTTTCACGCGAATCTGCTAAAAATGCCTTAAATTCAGATCGTAAAGATCGTGAAGCTCCGACGAAGTTTGTACCATTGTCGGAATATATGTTCTTCGGGCATCCTCTTCTGGCTACAAACCTGGCGAATGCAGCTAAAAATGATGGAGTGCTGAGGTCACTAGTTGCTTCCAAATGGATCGCTTTTGTCGAAAAACAGACAAAAAGGCAAACGTATCCTTTGGACATTCGACAACCTCGGCCGCTATAACTTTTGATGTCAAAGGGTCCTGAAAAATCTACACCTGTATTCGTAAACGCGCGCGAAAATGTGGTTCTCTCCTGAGGGAGAATTCCCATAAGCTGGGTTTGCGTACGTTTTTTGTATATCGTACAGACTTTGCAATTATGGATTGTGGATTTGATCAGATTTTTAACTCTGGGGATCCAATACTGAGTTCGGATAAGGCGAAGCATGAGTTGATTTTCCCCATGCAAAGAGACTTGATGAATAAAGGACACTATTAGACGGGACAACCTGCAGTTATAAGGAATAATTATTGGATGCCGCTCGTTATACGCTAAGTCTTGAGACGCTCCAAGACGCCCACCAGCCCTAATAATGCCATCTTTATCTATGAACGGATTAAGCGGTAGGAGTTCACTCTTGGAGTCGATGGAGTTTCCTGCTTTAAGTTTCCTGTATTCTTCACTGTAATAGTTCTGTTGATATATTTTTATCAAGCGTTGTGTCGTTGCTTTAATTTCATGGGATGAAATTAAGCGTGACTTTTCTTGAAATGAAGCTTTCGTATTTCGATGCGTTCTTTGAGAGAATCTCATAACATATGATAATACTCTCAAAGCTCTCGGAAAATCTGAAAAATGGTCAAGAATATCGGTATAATTTACTTTGGTTGTATAAACGTGCGTTCTTTTTTCCTCAACTACTGTGCTGTAGTCTGTTTCCTGGGTGGGCCATTTTGGGTTATCTTCTTGTAACCAAGAAGGTCCCTGCCACCACAACGAATTGTTGACCAATTCATATGCTGGAAGTCCTCTGCTCGCTAAGTCTGCTGGATTTGATGCCGAATCCACATGCAGCCAATTCTTGTTTCCGACTTTCTCTACAATTTTTGTGATTCTATGGGCAACGAAAGTTGACCATGAACACGGAGGCTTACGAATCCAAGCGAGAACAATTGTGGAATCGGTCCACAGATGTATGTTGATATGCCCTAAGTTGAGATTGTTGATTATTGAATCAACTATTTCCGCCAATAGTACCGCTCCGCAAAGTTCCAGTCGGGGTAGCGATATGGTTTTAACAGGAGCCACTCTGGTTTTTGCCAAAAGCAGGTTAATAAAAACTTTGCTATCTCTTTTGACACGCATATACACAGAGGCGGCATATGCTTTCTCCGATGCGTCACAGAATCCGTGTATTTGTATTTCATCCGTTGGAGAAAAGTATACCCATCGCGGTATACGAACCTTATCAATTTCGTTATAATGTTGGGTAAAGTTCTGCCATCGGTCTAGAGTGGTCGAAGACACAGTCTCATCCCAATCTGTGCCTTCCAGCCAAATATTTTGCATAAGGATTTTGGCTACGATTATGATAGGCGCAAGCCACCCCAGCGGATCGAAGAGTTTAGCAATGGCAGATAGTATCGCTCTTTTCGTAACAGCATCGCTTTTCTCCAATGGCCTTGCTATAAAATAGAAAAGGTCCGTATGGGCATTCCATCTTATTCCAAGAGCCTTGACTGCGCTGGTATCTTCAAATGCCAAAAAATCTTCGCTAAGTAGATCTGTTTTTGGTATGCCATTAAGTATTTGCTCGCTATTGGCTGTCCACTTTCGAAGTGGAAAACCGGCTGATTGCAACACTTCCGATATCTCATCTCTGGCTTTTATTGCTGAATCGATAGTGTGTCCACCAGACAATACATCGTCGACATACATGCATTTTCGTAGTATGTTAGAGGCTATTGGATGGGAGCTTTGCACATCGTCAGCCAATTGTAAAAGTGTCCTTATAGCCAGATAAGGAGCACAATTGATGCCGAACGTGACAGTCTTTAATTCGTACAGACTGATCGGGTCATTCGGGTTAGTGCGAAAAATAATCCTCTGATACTTAGTATGGTTGTTATGTACCAGAATTTGCCTATACATCTTCTCGATGTCACTGTTGAACACATATTTGTATAGTCTCCAACGGAGTATTAGTATCGGAAGATCTGCCTGAAGTACTGGTCCTGGGAAAAGTACGTCATTTAGGCTGTTGCCATTCGCCGTTGGGCTTGAGGCATTGAACACCACGCGTACTTTCGTTGAAGTACTTTCTGCCTTTATAACAGCGTGGTGCGGCAGAAAATAATTATCAGACGAGTCTGCGGGTATGGGATTTGTTATTTTCGACATATGCCCAAGCGTTTCATATTCCGCTAGAACCCTATTGTATTCCTTTTGCAGGACGGGATCCTTGGCCAGCCGTGTCTCATTCCGGTAAAATTGAGAACATGCTCTTTTAAGGGATGGGCCTAGGGAAATATTTCCTGGAAAATCTTTCCTAAATGGTAGTGACACGATGTATTTTCCTTTATTATTTCGTATGGTTGTCTTCTGATACAGCTCCTCGCAGTACTTGTCGTCTTCATTAAGGCTCTTGTTCTTTGGAATCTCCTCAAGCTCCCAAAAGGCACTCAGTTGCTTGTCCAGACTAACTTCGCTGTAGTATGAGACGATATTCGTTCCTGGATTCGAGGTATCAGTTCGCCCTGTTATTATCCAGCCAAATACTGTTTCTTGGGCCAGAAGTGTGTTTAATATGTTTTTCTTAAGCCCGCCCAGAATAATTTGTGGATATATGTCTCCACCCAGAACAAGGTCTACGGGTTCATTGACGAAGAATCGTTTATCCGCTAGAATTAGATCTGGAAATGCTTGCTTAGTCACTGCACTAATGTGGCAAGTAGGAAGATTTCCAGTCAGTTGTGCTAGCACGAGCACAGAGGTATTTAAGCGGAACAACGGGTCAACAGGAGACCGCAATTCGATGTTGCACGCTTCTTTAACCTGCGCCGTAGTTGTATTAGTGATGCCCGAAACTTGGGCATGCATACGCTTTGACGGCAAGTGAATTCTGCGTTTTAGTCTTTCAGTAATGAAAGAACACTCTGAACCAGAATCAATAAGTGCTCTAGCGGAATAGTTCGTACCATTGAGATAAATGTTGACGCGTGCTGTCCCTAATAACACACCTGTGTTTGTATTCGCATAGCAAGACTTCACGT